GCTGTTTGAAGGAGTCGTGGGTTGCCAAAAGCTTTTAGAAAATTCCGTTACTGAAACTTGTTTAAGAAACTGAACTGCTGGGGATGGCTCTTGAATTGATAATTGATTAAAATCTTGAAGACAAGAGGTAGAAGAGACCGATGGTGTTTGACACTGCAGGGAGGTAATCGAGAGTCCCGTGTGAAGCTGGGCTGCTCAGCACGTCCATAAATGATGTGGAAAAGAGCGAGTAGTGGTGTGGCAAAGTTGCTGATGGTGCTGCTCAGTCTGGCTGGAGCGAGAATCAGTGGCAAAAATTACGAAATGATTTCACGAGAGCGAGTTGAGTGTGCAAACAGCAGGTGTAGGTCAGTGTTGGTCCACAAAGTAACGCTTGGGGAGGAGGAGGCAGCCCAGATGGTACCTTAAAGAGCAGCAGACTGTCCTGACTGTTTCTAACTGTTGCAGGAGATCCCATTGTCAGTGTGGAGAGTTTCCTGAAAATTCCCATTCACTGCTCTGCCATGCTCTGAAAGCCAAACGGACCGTTAAGGAGGGAACGGAGAACAAAGCACGACATAAATTCCTCACACTTCTGCAGCCCGAGTGCCGCACGCGTTGCTGGCTTGCTGCTCTCCGAAGGGATAAAGCAGGGCAGTAAAATCCAGCACAGAACATGTTCCTAGAGGTGTGGAAAAGCTTTTGTTCTGAGAAGGAGCGAATACATTGACTTTTCTGCTTGTGAGAGAGCTAGCAGAGATGGAGGCTCTGAAGTGGTAAGCGACAGAGGACGTCAGTGAGGAGTGGTCAGTTGTGACTTCTTGTAAAGCCGAGATCAGATGGAAACGAATCGGAAAGGAGTAGAAGGAAGGAGGTGGTTTCCCCCAGTGTGCAAACTGTGGAACTCAGCGCTGTTGCACGTTAGATGTAGAAACGGTTTAAAAATGTTTTGATGTTCCTGAAGGAAATAAACTCCTCAAGAACCATCAAACATGCTGGTTGGATACACCACCTGCTTCAGGAGGTTCCTGACGCTGGGATTTCCAAGGGAGTTGTGGGGGGAGCGTTTTCCTCAGGCCACTTGCAGGTTGGGTTGTGCCACGCGGCAAAGCCAGGGCAGCAGTTGGCTCCCTGTGTGCTGGGTGCTGCCCGCACCGGTGTGGCTCTGCTTCCTGCTGGGTTTCGCCGGGTCGTGGTGATTCCGTTTGGTGTGAGGATGCAGTCGAGCTCCCTGAAGCAGGTTGATGGTGGGTCTGGCCGGTGCTTGTGCAAGGGGATGGGCAAAAACGCGCAGTCAGAGGTGAGCCTCTGGAACGCGCTGGGCTGTCCCAGAGGAGTCTCCTGTCTGACTCGACACAGCTGTTCTGGAGGAATACGGGATGTCAGTTCTGGAGAAGGGACACGGTGGCAGTTCCTTCTTGCTCTATTACCCTTTAGCAATGTCCAAACATGTCCCCAGCAATTCAGAGAATCATAGAACCATGGAATGGTTAGGGTTGGAAGGGACCTCAGAGATCATCTAGTTCCAACCCCCCTGCCATGGGCAGGGACACCCTCCACTACACCAGGTTGCCCAAAGCCCCATCCAGCTTGGCCTTCAACACTGCCAGGGATGGGGCAGCCACAGCTTCTCTGGGCAACCTGCTCCAGTGCCACAGCACCCTCAGAGGGAAGAATTTCTTCCTTAGATCCCATCGAAATCTCCCCTCTTCCAGTTTAAAGCCATTGCCCCTTGTCTTATCACTACATGCCCTTGTAAAAAGTCCCTCTCCAGCCTTCCTGGAGAGCTTCAATCTCTTCCCTGCTTCTGTGTCTTCTGTCTGCTGAGAAAGTGTGGGAATAGGCACCACCTGACAGCTTAGGGGTGGGAGGTGAATTATGGTCAGTCTCCAGAAAGAAGCAAGTTCACCCGGTGACCTTTGTTGTCTCTAGGTTTTAGGGGAACATCAATAAATCCAATGTCTGAGACTGCTCAGGGCGGAGGCAGGGGAAGCGAGAGCTCTGGGTTGTGGAGCGGTGCTGCTGTGCGCGTGTCTGACTTGGCTCAGCTCCCCCATCAGCTTGTTCCCAGTGAAATGGGGATAGTGTTTCCATTCCCCCTTTCTGTGGGCCGTCCAGGTAACATTGTGCACCATCTCTCATGGTATACGTGTGCGCGCTATGGCTGCTGTCACATGACTTGAGGATAATTCCATAATGTGTAAATATCGTCTCTTCCTCTAGGTCTTACTAGATCAGAGACCTCGTATGGAGGCCAAGCCATCTCCAGGAATGTCAGAGCAGGAACACTGTCGCTCTGAAGAAGGTTCATGTCCACCAGGAGGGATCATACTTCGACCCCGTTAAGAGAAGCAGCATCTGTAAAACATTTCTCTAAATTACACTGACAAGGAGTTTTAATGCCGGCTTCTCATTCAGTTGGAAAATACCACTGCCCGCTTGCCTGGTTAGAGAACAAATTTGCAGTTTTCTAGTGGTGGCATGAAATCTTTGAGCTACTGGCTCTTGTGCTCTGGAAGTGTGGTGGTGCTGGATGAATGGCTCCAGGCTGGAGAATTGCCTTTCTGTTGCCTGTTTGCGCTGCGTGGTTCTGTTTGCCCTTTTTGCAGGGAGAAAAGGCGTTTTCTAAGGCTGCCTTCAGTGTGGCTTGTTTGTGACATCTTGTGTATGAGACGGCATCTTCTTCAGCTCCGTCCTTTGCAAGGTCGTTTGTTGCCAGGAGCTGAGATGTGCAGGTGGCTGTGAAGATGGAGCTGACCTTGGCAAATTGACTCACATGCCAGTCTGGGCACGCTGACCCTCTTTAAAGTGTCTTGTCCTTCTTGTTTGAGACGAGTCCTGTGTAGGAGACAGCTGATGCTTTGATTTGAATGTGATCTCAGGTTTGACTATTGGCTTTATGGGTCTTGTAAATGTTCTTTGGTGTCTTCTCTTCCAGAGCAGGTGATTCAGCATGTTTAGTTTGCGGAGGGTTTCCCTGCCCGTGGCGGGGGGCTTGGAACTAGATGATCTTTGAGGTCCCTTCCAACCCAAACCATTCTATGATTTAGAACTCCATTGATTCTCTGATGATATTGGCATGATAGGATTTGCTGTCCGTTTGTGTCAGGAGAACAGCTGTAGATACAGTGATGGCACGCATCACTTGTGCTTCACCATTCAGCATGTTTTTGCTTATGGTCTACTCCTTCCTGACGTATCCATATGGTGTCAAGAGCAACTTCTGTATTGCCTTGGGTGCCTCCTTGCATACGTGGTTTTATGCCATAAAATGGAGTGTTGTGCGGAAGGAAGGATTCTGGAGAGTTTTCAAACATGGCTGCAATATGTAGTTGTGTGGTGGTCTCTTGGCTGTGATTTGAATCATAGTAGAGTGGATGATGGGCAGAAATGGGTGGAAATCCTGTGCATGGATAAATTGAGCTGAATTTTTATCAGCAGTTCACATTTAAACATTTGAACTGAATTTTTAGCAAGGAAGTTGGAACAAGAAATGGCCATCATGGGACACGTGATAGCTGACTTCCAGGAAGAAAGGTTATTCACAGCAGCAGATGCCCTTATTTGCGCTGGGAAATGCTGCAGATGCATTGAGTGTAGTGAGAAGCTGTGAAGAAGGGACTTCAGGTGAGATACCTAGAGCCATCATGGGTGCTGGAGAAGACTGGCCTTCATCTTTCTGTCCTTTTGTCCTTGAGAAGTGAGGAAAATACAGTTGTAGTTTTCAGAGGTGTGCTGAAAAAGAGAGTGCTTTTGGAGCAGTCGGAGCGTCATGATAGATGCTGAAGAAGTTCCTCAAAGATGTCACGCTATGGCTGAGCGTTAGCTGCTTGCTTGGTGTTTCTTCCTAGTCTGTCTGCAGATGCCCTCCATGCTCCACACCGGTCTGACCCTGTAGCTGACCCTGCTTTGAGCAGGAGCTGGACAGCATGACCTCCTGAAGTCCCTTTCAACCCGAATTGCTTTGTGATGATGTTACTGAAAACCATGGAAAAGGTTGTCCGTGCCTGCGTAGCTGAAGACTGCGGTGCACGAGGGGTGGGCAGATGTTGGGTGAAGGGAACTGGATTTCTGACGCTGCTGCGGGCGAGATCCGGTCTCTGCAAACCGAATGTTGTTTTAATTTGGAGCGTCAGCAGCCGTGGGGCAGTGGGTTCACCGGGGTTGGCTGCAGCAGCTGCCATGGCCTCTCTCGTGCCGGTGCCCGTCTCTGCCCCAGCAGAGACAACTAAGAGTGACCTGTAGCAGCTCCTGAACCAGCTCCGTAAGGACGTACTGAGCCGGACTCAGTCGGTGCTGCCCACTTCGGCAGGGCAGGATGTGAAGTGCAGTGATTCAGTAGAAACTCCTGCTCGTTTATTCCTCCCGCTTGCTTAATACTATTTTTTGGTTTAGTCCGGCTTCATTTTTCCAAAAAGTTGGGGGTGAGGAGGTAGTAGGTTACGTAAACGGTTATGTGGTAGGTGGAGCTTGGTTGTGAAGGAGAGTTGGAGTTTGCTAATATTGAGGTTAACGGAGAGGAGAAGCAGAGCTGGGAGGAAACGTGTTTGCTAAGTGTTCCCTATGTAAAAGTTTCTGATCTTCTGGTTTTACAGACTTTATCTTGGGAAGATGGATGGATCCTTCTGGTATCTTGAACCTACAGAACAGAAGTGGAGGAAGCACTTAGGAAGAGATGCATTTAAACTGCAGTTGCCCATGATAGAAAGTTTCCCCAACTGGGGAAAAAAAACAGTAATAAACCAGTTCTTTGAGAAAAGAGGAGCCAGTGAGCTATACAAGGATCAGTGTGATTTCAATCCCTGGCAGGATTCTTGGGCCGGCTCGTTAAACAGCTTGCTAGTGTCCATAACATAATGGGATGAGTAGATGCGGCACAGCTAATACAGTTTTATGTGATGTATTCCCAAGAAATCCATCTGATTTTCGTTGGATGGGAGAGCTGGCGTTTTGCTTAAACAAGCAAGCGCCGGGTGTGAGTGATGGGTGTTTCGTAGGGTTCCCGATAGGAATTTGCAACAATGGTCGTTTGTCAGGTAAGAACATCCAGTTTTGTGACGTTTTAAGGTGCACGATTGGCTGAAAACCTGTGCATCGAGTTGTCATCGGTGTCTTGCTGTGAAACCCAAGGGCTTTTGAGACGGAGCCCTTGGTGCTGCCGTGGTGAGTGCACCTCCACTTCACTAATGAGGGCACTGCAGCCTGCTGGGAGAGCAGAATCAAAAAGGTGTTGGGAAATCGGAGAGAGAGCTGGAACTAGTCGAACCAAGGTGCTGTAAGTCGAGTGCAGAGTGCCGTATGTAAGGGCAAAAATGAAATGCATGTGTGCAACCAGATGTAAAGGCTGCAAAACAGTCGTAGCAGCAAGTTGCGACTGTGTGAAGCTGTTGCATTTGTTCTGGGGTTTTAGTTGGTTTGCGCCCTTGAGAATCGGGGCTGAAATGCGATGCCACGCTCAAGTCTGGAATATTGCAGACTGATAGAAGAATAATTACTGCTCCAGCTAAGAGGAGTGTTATGTTAAGTACAGCTCAGAATGAGGCTCCCTGCTTTTGCAGCTTGGATAAGAGAGTTTTTTCCTGTTGTTTTTTTTTTTTTTTTTTTCAAAATGCGTGGTCTGTGAAGAAAGGTTGAAGGAACTGGCCACGTTCAGTGTAAGCATGGGAAAGCAAGAGGCAATTTTCCTCCAACCCAGAATAGCCTCTTACAAGCGAGGTGGGTATTAGGAGAAACTCAGATTGCCATGTTTGTGAAGCACTCCAATGTGCTGCCAAGGAAAGTGGCACAACTCTTTTTCAGGAGAACTTTCGGGGCATTTTTGTCAGGGATGCTCTAAGCATGTTTGTCCTGTCCGTGGGAGTCAGGTTGTGGTGGTGGCTCCTCCGGGCCTTCCTTCTGCTCTGCAGTTTCTAGAACTAAAATCTCACAAGTGCCTTTCTTAAGCAGGCTGGAGAAATGAAATGAAGTAGGTAGAACAGGTACCAGCTACCCGGAACTTAAAGTTGCAATTTTAAGCAAATCGATGGAGGCACATGGATTTACCATACTGGAACTTGTCCTGGTTTGTGTTTCCTGCGCTCAGTCCTCAACAGAATCAGTACAAGCGTTTTAATTTTGCCTGTGTTACAGAACTTACTTAGCAACCAGAAGAAGTTCTTGCTTTTTCTGGAGAAATTCCTTACTGGAGAAGGTCCCGCAGCCCGAACGGTTGTACAGGCGGTTTCCGGTGTCCGTGTGCTCGGGCAGGGTTTGCTCAGGAAAGTGCTTGGTGCGCTCTGAGCTGTCGCAGGGTGTTTGGGACAGCTGAAGTCATGTTTCCAAATTGCTCTCTGGATGAACCTGGCTTGTCGGAAAAGGGCAACCTGGTGTAGTGGAGGATTTCCCTGCCCATGGCAGGGGGGTTGAAACTAGATGATCTCTGAGGTCCCTTCCAACCCAAACCATTCTGTGATTCTATGATTCTATGAAAAGGGACTGCTGGCTGGCAGTCTTCTCCCTTACCCCATCCTGGGTCTTATCCACGCGTCTCCTACGTGGGGACTTGATTAATGGTGTTACATCGTAGATAAGATTTATTTTTTAAAGTCGTAAATCATTTGTTTGTTATTAACCTGCGTGGCAAAATTTTTTGCCTACGAGAAAAGAAATAAGATGCTGAGAAAATAAATTAAGTTTGTGCAGAGAGCACAAGGGAAAATTGATGCTCGTGATTCATTTGAGTAGCTACACTTTGGAATTGACTTCTCCTTCCCACGTATGAGTCATTCAATTGGTGTGATGTCTTTCTCCAAAAATCTTGATGAATTTTGCTGTGTGGGAATCAGTTATGATACCAAGTTTGTTTGTTTTTTTTTTCCCTTGCAGAATTTGGTGTTCATTTAGCAGAACTGACTGTAGATCCCCAGGGAGCTTTGGCCATACGTCAGGTGAGTTTAGGTGGAAGTGCAGAAAGAATTTTGATGGTAGTTTCCTTGTTTTTTAAAATATTCTCTCATGTTTCCAGGTGAAAAATTGGAGGTAGCTTTCCATTACTGCGTCTCTGTTTTCTTTTACGTTTCTCTTGAGCTGTCACTTTCCCTTTCAACATTATTCAGGTGTTACAAACTTACCTTTTTTGAAAACAGTGGTTTTTGGACGTAATAACCCTGGTGCTGAGACAGTGCCGTGCTGGGAACGGGCACAGCTCATTCGGTGGATGGTAGGCATCAGCAAGCAGAAGTGTGACTTGTCTTCGCAGCAGCTTTTCCTGTAGGTGTTTTCCTCCTTGAAAAGGAAGTTTACGTTCTGTAGTTCTTCATTCACCTTGCGGCCTTTGTGCCTTTTTAGAGGTGGGGAAACAAAGCTGCTGCCTTATGTCAGTGCTGTACGGGCCATCATTGCTCAATGAATGACCATCAGTTCAGCTTTTTACTGAGGTAACTTTGTTTTGTCCGTTTCCCAAAGATTTTTGTGTTTTTGGCAAACCCTGTTACCCCTCTAAAAGCAGCATGATGGGATGGGAGACTGGGCAAATGGTGACGCCGTGGTTGCAAGTTCTGTAACTGATTCTTGCCCTCTCTTCTAATACAGCTGGCGTCTGTCATTTTGAAACAGTATGTGGAAACTCACTGGTGTTCTCAGTCGGAAAAGTTTAGACCTCCAGAGACCACGGAAAGGGTAAGATTTGGTTTCATGTTGTCTGCTTTGATATGCTTTACCCATCAAGAATATTAATTTTGTGGCTGTTTTTAAGTGTCAATGCCCTTGTGCATTATGAGAATTAATGGCTTCAGTTAAGGTTTTCTGACATTTTCCACTTTGAAAATCTCTTTTCAGTTGCTTAAAACGTGAGACTTGATTAGCTTGGGTTAATTTCTGTAGGCAAAGTTCAGCCATAATGTTTCTGTTGCTCTAAGAACAAGACTAGAAGAAGGCTGCTTTGTAACTTTTACAAATACTGGTTCTGGCAGTCCTTTGTCAGAGAGCTGCTAAATCTTATGGTTTTCAGCTTGGGACTTAAAGGCTGTTTTCCCCTGACAGATTTCTGTTTAAAGGTCTCTGGGTTTCATTAAAAATCTGTTCAGTAGGAGTATCTCACAGCTAAAATGGACAGAGATTCCAGCCCTTTGCCACTTTGACTGTTGGCTGGATCATCTTTCACATCTAGGGTCTCATTCTTCCCCTCCAGAGACAGTTGCCTGAACTAGATCTTGTGAATTACGCCCCAGGAGTGCTGGCTTTTTTCTGTTGTCCCTTCAGGGCTGGGTGACTAGTTCTTGTTTACTAAAATCTTCCGAAGTAAGCAAACATAGTCCCTGATACTGGAACTGGGATTATATCTCAACTGCCTCTGGATGTCTTCCATGTAGACATCTACATCCTATCTGATTGCAGCTGCGAGCTGTTCATTGTGTGCTTGGCCAAGCGCTCTGTGTGAGAAGAGTGCACAATGTACTGTGCAGTTTTCTGCAAAGAAAGGACAGGGTATGGTGTGCAAGGTTTCGTTGTCTCGGGAGCGTTCCTTTTGTAAAACCAATGTTGAATCCATATCAGGATACAGTCATAGGTACAAGTTTTTCTTTATTAAATTGTTTTACGACTGGGGATCTGTTTTGCTAAATATTGTTATTCTCCACAGGCAAAAGTTGCTATTAGGGAGCTCCTGCCCAACGGGCTGAGAGAATCCATCAGCAAAGTGCGCTCGAGCGTTGCTTACGCAGTTTCAGCAATAGCCCACTGGGACTGGCCCGAAGCCTGGCCTGAGCTGTTCAGTCTCTTGATGGAGATGCTGGTTAGTGGAGATGTGAACGCGGTGCATGGAGCCATGAGAGTGCTTACAGGTATGTGTATGTGAAAGCTTTGGCAAGGCTGATGTAGGAAGCGGTTTAGGCTTTTCCTTACCTTAGTATCTTCCCACTTTTCACTCCAAATTGAAGAAATTGGGATTTGCTGCTTCTTTCCTACTGGGTGTGATGCCTATCGGTCACTGTTGAATTGTGTGTTCAGTAGATGCCATGAAAGCTGAGGAAGAAGGTTCTGTGCTACAGGTTATAGCTCTGAAGGAACCTTGATTGCAACACCCTATTTTCCAGATTTCTGCAATTTTTAGTGTGATATTTTTCTGTTTGCCTTCAAGGATTGCCATGGGTGGGTGAGATGACACTGGTCTAGTCAAGTACAAATGTGTGTTTTCAATATGTTGTTAGTGTTTCCCAATGATTCTGTGTTGCTGTTGCCTACTGATTTGTTTTCTTATAAGAACTTCACTCCTTCCATTTTCTAGAGTTTACGCGGGAAGTGACAGACACACAGATGCCACTTGTTGCTCCTGTTATTCTTCCAGAGATGTACAAAATTTTCACAATGGCAGAGGTATGATCTTCGCTATTAAGTTGGTACTGAGTGACATCAGTGGGAGTGTTTCTTGGAGTAGAGAAACTCCAGATTTAATGGTTAAGCTATACTGTGGTATGAGTTAGGCTTAAAGAATTTTCTTGATGATGTGGTAGTTGATGGCAGCTAATGTTTCAACAGAAATGTTGAAGCCAGTGGTAAGAGAATCAAGTTAAAGTAAAAAATAAATACAATTAAAAGAAAATTAAAGAAGATAAAGGTATCTTGTGTTCCTGATCTGTCATTGAAACTTTTTTCTAGGTGTATGGTATTCGCACAAGGTCGCGTGCCGTGGAGATATTTACCACGTGTGCCCATATGATCTGCAACATGGAGGAGTTGGAAAAGGCAAGAGTTTAACCTTCCCTACAACATACCTTGAATCCAAACTGAGCGACGTTCTAAATAGTTAACTCTCCAACATTTCATTTTCATATTATGTGCTCTGTCAGCTGTAATTCTGGGGAAGGGGTATGGCTTAATATATGTGAAGTGGCAAACTCTGCTTTACGTGCGTGCCTTGATGCCGTGACTTGGTTTTTAGAATTAAGTTTAACTTGTGACATATCAGCAGATGTGTTTGTAACAGCTCAGAGAAAGGAGAGTCCTTGTGGGGAGGAGGTAGTGTATCATCCCTTTGTGTGGAAATCCGTCATAGCTTCCAGTCTCCAGGTGAACTGTGTGTGCTGGCCCTTGGGCGAGGCGTTGGTTACAAGTCCTGGAGCTTCATCAGTTTCTTTAGCATGCAAGTTAGCGTTTTGTTCCTCCAGGGGTGGTGGAAACCAAACCAAACCAAATTTTAGAAATACAGCTCTTAAGAAAAAAAAAACAAAAAACAAAAAACCAAAACAAACTCTGCAATTAAGCAGCTTTATACATGTGGGTCTCCTGTGTGCTCTCGGAGCACATCTGCATTTTATATGGCCTTGACAAGTGGGTTTCCCAGCACTCTCCAGACAATAAATTTTTATTTTTAGCTTTCTACGGGGTGAGGGTAGGAGAGAGTGACTCTGTCTAGTGGTTGGTCATTGCTGAGTGGCTGTATCTGCTGTTTCCTCCCTATTTGCACAGGGAGCAGTTCAGTGCAGACTTTTGGGAAGTTCTGATAATTACACTGTACCTCTACTGCACTGACAAGGTTACTTATGCAAAGTATCCAAGAGATAGTAATAGCTCCCCACTGTCTTATTCTGGAGGAGGGCTGGAAGTGTCCTTTACATTGTAAACAAAACCTGTATTGAAATTTGACTTGAAAAGATTGCCTTTTTTTTTTGTCTATAAATTGCTAAGGTGATATTTCATAGTTTATTTAAGAATGCAACTTTGCTGACTTAGCTATGGAGTTATGAGGAATATTCTCAATAAAACTATTTTTGTCCAGTATTACTTGCTCTGCCGAGCACTGCTTGTGGAGTGCTTTGACACCCGGAAAAATATCGACTGCGTTTTCTTAGGAAGAATTATCATGATAATCTTCAGGCCAGCTGTTGATACTGGGCTCACAGCTTGTTTGGTTGGGGGGAGGGTGGCTCAGGAGGGATACCAATGCTGTCCACAGGGTTGGGTGTAATTGCTGCTCTGGGATGTGGTCACCCCTGGTCTCTTGTGTAGCCCTGAGGATCCAGGAGGATCCAGGTAGAGGGCGTGAGCCATCTCCTGAATGAAGGTGTCCCTAGGAGGATGTGCAGGGCTCCTGGGACTCGCTGGACTGGATTGTCTAGATCTCAGATAACCTGCATAGATCTCAGATTAATCTGGGTGGAGTCTGAAGCTGTTAGCATAGATGCAGGCGTGTGTTCTGTAGCAGTCTGTGCTGTGCGATTTTGAAGGGTGGGATTCAGCTGAGCTGGGTTCCCAGCATGAGAAGAGAGCCGAAGTGATGTCTGAAACGTGTATTTCATGTGACTTTGCAATGTTCTGCACTTGCCATGAGTCCTTCTTTGGTTTTGCAGCAGAAAAGTGCAATTTCTGTTGCTTCTAGAGCTTTATTTGTCAGATGTGGGGGTTCTGTATCTAGTATTTACCTGTGCTCGCATTGATTTTAACCAGGGTGCGGCCAAAGTCCTGATATTTCCAGTGGTGCAGCAGTTCACAGAGGCCTTTGTTCAGGCCCTGCAAATGCCTGATGGACCCACATCAGACAGCGGGTTTAAGATGGAAGTCTTGAAGGTAAGTCACTGATTAAATAAAGAATTGAATACCAGCAAACTGTCAGATGTGCTGGAAAACAGAGAAACCTGAGCGTGTGTCATCTCTCCTAGTACTGCTCATGTTGTGAATAGTGAAGGTTTTTGGCTCCCAGAGCCACGCAACTTTGAAATAAATTGTTCTGCCCGTACTGAAGATACCTATGATGAGATCCATAGGGATCTGTCTGTAAAATGATCCATAGGATTCTCTGTCCTTGTCATTAGCTGGTCTAAAGCATCTTGGATGCATCTTGTTTGGACACCATACTCAGTAGTTAAATGTCTGTCTTTTCTAAACATGCTGCAGGATTCTGCTGCAATGAAATTTTAGAAGTTGATTATGTGCAGGTGCTTTTCTGGAACTTGCCTGCTCCTTAATACTAAATGATCTCTGCAAAAGAGAGATGGAAAGTCTTTGTACTCTCCCGGTTTTCCAGAGAAAAAAGTTGGACTGCAGAGCTGTATGTGCGTGTAGCTCCGTGTGTGCGGCTAAAAGTGCCAGGGTAGGTATGGAGATCTCTTCAATAGCTGGGAAAGGACTGGAGTTCTAGGGTGTGCTGTTTGCAGCATGGGAGAGAAGAGAACTACTCAAACCTGTAAGGTTTTGCATCAGATCCTGATCTTTCATTTAATTGCACATGTGCTGGGATAGGCAAGACTTGGATCATAGTATCCAGGTTTCTGAAGATGAACGGCTGAGACCCATTCAGCCACGTTCCTTGGTGAAAACAGTAAGGAAGAGTTACTGAAGACAAGCATCAAAAGCCTTTCATAATTACCACTTGCACTGGAGCCCTGAAAATAAATGCTGGGAGGTGCAGGAGGCTGCTGTGATGTTAAACAAACTAGCGACAACTAAGTTCTGTGTCGTGGAACTTGTGTTCTTAGTCCTGTTAAAGGCAGCAGTACCCTGGTTACGGCGTCCTGTCGCTTCCCAGTAAGAGACTGCAGGTGTCGTACACTGGAAACAGCAGGAGCTTGTTTCTTGCTGTGCAGCACTAAATGGGAGGGAGTTTGGGGTCGATGCTGGCAGGTTTTGTTGGGAGAGTGTCTCTTGCAGTGCTTGCATTGACGGTGCACTGAGGTTCCTGGGGCAGTAATAAAGAGGAAAGCTGACGTGAAGGGGGTACTCTGCAGGGTGTAATCTTGATTTGAACAGGCTGCAGCTCAAGAATGTCTGGATCTCTGATTCCAAAGACATACATTCAGATGTTTAATGAATAGAAGAAATTTTCAGCCAACATGAAAGGCAGTTGTAATTGATAGTTTCCCTCTAACTATAGACCAGCTCTACTGTTCTTGATACATTCAGGAATTCTGCAGCTCTAATAACTGTTTTCGTTATTTACGTAACAGTGCTTACTGGAATCGGAGCTATTTGTACTTTTTTGTCTGCACTGACATAGAGCAGTAGTCTCTTGAAAGATGTGACAGGCCAGGAAAGTATTTGAGCAAATGAATTGTAGGCATCTGCTTTTGGCCACTGCTGTAGGTGCAGTGCAGGAGAGGATTTGGGGCTGAGTACACATTGTGTGTTGGATGGCATTGGTGGCAGCAGAAAATCAGTATGGATTTAAACAGTAAATTCAGGAGTTCTGCTGACACGTGGTTTGTAGGAGGCTCTTTGTGAAGAGATGAGTATTCTGGCTGTTAGGGCAATTCATGATTTTGTCACTTAGGATTTCTAAGCTGATGATACCAGTTTCTAAGGGAAAAGGGATTTGGGTGAAAGACCCATAAATTGCCTTCCTTTCCAGAAACATGGATTTTTATAGTCATTGTAATGCAGAAGTAAAGGACCTCAAGGGATTAGTTAAGCCAGCTCTACAGATGAGATCATTACAGGAACTCCTTGAAATGCTGATGCAATGGAGGAGGGAATTGAGACCTTTTTTTTTATAGTACATTTCCAACCAGATGCGAATGCGATCCTATCTTTTTTTCCTTAATGAAGTGCTATGCAGCAAATGACAGGAAGACTATTTTTTTCTTCCTTGTCTTTTGAGAGCTTTGTACTCCGAGGTTCATGGAGTTCTTGGTGGGAATCAGAGGCAGCCCTGACCTAAAATGTCTTGCTTTCTATATGAGAACATCATGCAGGAAAGTGTCAAAAGCACATCCGCTGAGATGGTTATCCTGTTTGAGAAAGTAAGTAGGTTGGATCACATCATGGTGATTGTGACAACCACTGATTGTTAATTTGTCTCAAAATCTTTCCAAGTATAGTCACAAGTTTAGAACAAATTACCAGCGGGAAAGTCGAGGCCTTTAGCCCTTGTAGGAGATGGGAGGTTTGGCCACAACAAAAATCTTTTCAGCCACGAGGACTAGAACGAAATACCAGGAGTGCAAGTCATTGTTTTGTTGTTTGATAGTTCAGGGTGAATCAAAGTGATCTCTCTGAGGATGAATGAGCTGCAACTAAGTGATTCTTGAATCCCGATTCCAGTGGTGTTGAACATGCCACTGTTGATTGTTTTGAGAGAAATAGAGTGATTAAACCTGACAGGTAACAGAGTTAAGGCAAATTTCATAGCAAGAGAATACAAATATGATGTACTTGGTATGCAGTAATTATATCAAGAGATGAACCAACAGTCTGAAGTATCTTACAGCTTTGCTGTAGTGCTGCGTCGCTTATGCTTAAAGTCTGTTCTTTCAACACTTGTGTGTTAGATGGGTCAGAAAAGTGATGCTTATATTTTTCCTGCTATTGGAACAAATAATTAATTACAAAAAATAATCGATCACACCCTCTTTGTTCTTGGATGGAAGACAAGGTAGTGGCCAGTGTCTTGGGGCAAATATCCTAAGCTTATGGGCAAAGTACAGAACCTGCACCTGCTGCACTCTTACTGAACATTTAGCTTTAGCGTGCTCTCCTGCTGCTGGCTAGTGAATATGTAAAACTTTTTATCCACAAATTTGGGGATTCCTTCTCTGTCTAAAGACACAAATAGGAAGCAAAGCAAGAAAAGGCTTTAATACAGAGTGACTTTCAGGGGATGCTGAGCAATGAGTCAAGGTGCGGTTGGATGTTTTCTTGCAGAATAGCTGTAAGGGGTTCAGGAGCTGTTGTGTTGCTCCCACAGTGGTGGCTTTGGTGTGTCCGTGCAGTGACTCAGGCTGCAGGTGTGGATGCAGTTGGTTGCTGCCTGGCTTGGCCATTGAGTGTCCTGCCTGGGGAGCAGTTTGACTTTGCTCTGAAGAGAGATGGATAAGGATTTTCTTGGAGGATTTAATAGATGGTGGAGCAGTACATGGGGTTAGGCAGAGGACAAGGTCTATGAAGCAGTTCTTTTAGCTCAAACAAGCAGTGGGAATTGGCAGAATGAGAGGTCAGGGGTTGAAATACAACATTTAGCAGGAGAGAGTGCTCTTTTTTAATGACTTGCACTGCGGGAAAGTGGTGAACTTGCAAATGCAGCCTTCTGCTGTTAGAACTGCAGAGCTGCTGAACTGAAGAACTCGTACCGCCCCAGTAATGCTTCCTGCAAGATTGTCTTGGCATATCACTTAGAAAAACTTGCATGCCGGGTTCATAAGCAGTGGCATACGGAACAAGTCTCTTTAGATGTTACTGTGGCCACAGTCAGGGTGCTGAGTTTGCAGCAGTCCTGCAGATCGGATTTGGATCCTCTGCCAACACCTGCATAATTTTTTTTTCTCCCCAGAGTCAACAGGTCTTTTCTGTAACGTATCTAGCACCTTGCAGACTCGTTTTCAGACTTACATGTCTGGGTTATCTCCTACTGCCTGCTCATCTATAATACCGATATTAGAATGCAGTTTTTTCTGGCAGATGAATTATTATTTTTTTAATTTCTGTTAGTGTACCCAATGCTACAAACAAACAAACTGGACAAAGCATTTTGGATTGGGTAAGCAGAAACAAACGGATACTCGTATGTCCCGTAGCAGCTGCCAGTCAGGCAGTTTGTAAGAGGCTCTTCTGTAACCAATATATAATAACTGGAGCTGTACCCCCGTGGAAGGAGACGGTGTCTGTCAGGTGGAGTGAGAGTTCTCTGGCTCCTGGAGGATCCCAGAAGCTTTTTGGCAAGTGAAAGGGCTCCCCTAAATCAGGGTGACCAGCTTTGTGAAAGCCCAGGCACAGTCTGCTGTAGAGCTGCTGCCCTGTGTTGGGCTGGCCCAGCTGCCTGTGTCTGCAGCTGAAATGGGTGGGAGAGTTGAGCTGGGTAGGTGTTTCCTTCTGCAACCGTTCCCTGCATGTGCAAACAGGTGTGTTGCTTACATGTGTGGGAAATAGGCTGTGGTCTGGTTTTACTTGATATTAGAGTTCATCTTCTGAGACAAGATAGCTTCCAGGTGGTGATTGTATCCAGACAGTACTGGGCGGTGATGGACTTCTGGCTGGGAGTCGGTACTTTGCCACCAAATTATTGCATTGGCTTCACTGCCGGAGTGGTATGTCTCCTGTTAGCCCTTCGCATCGCTGCAGAACAGCAAATAAGGAGAGAGGTCTGTTTGTCAGGGTTCGTGCAAGAGAGGGGACTGCCCGGTCAGGAGTGAGAGGAGGAAACCTTGGCAGCAGGAAGACACTGGATTATCTCAGTTGTTAATGAGACAGCAGCCTGCCATTTGAGTGGTTGTTGATGATTTTCCCTGGTTTTGCTTCTGACTGATGTTCTTTTTCGTTCCAGGCTGTGACAGCACTTGTGAAAAACTATCCGAAGCACATGATTTCATCAATGCAGCAGATCCTGCCCATTGTCTGGAATACCCTTACGGAAAGTGCCGCTTTATATCCTTTGCAGGGGCTGGTTTTAACTAGAACAGAGCAGACAAACTGTCTCATACACAACAAGGACCTGAACACGGCTGAAGAGCATGGTACCTGGAGTAGTCCACCGTGACGGACAGAATTTAGGCATCTGTGGTGTAGGTGTACCCATTACCTCTGTTACTGCAGGAGGCTCCATTAAGTAAAAGAGTACATGTTTTTTAGAGTAAAAGTCATGACTTGTAGAGTAAAAGTCATGTACAATGCATGATGTGAGCAGCTGTGTTACACTGACTGTAGAATTATGGACAATCTCTGCATAGTTTCTGGTACTCCCCAGTGAAAATTGTTGTCTTAAAAAGATGTCTAGACACAATGTAAAGATTTCAGGTATGGGAGAATCTACAATATCCCTTGCTCCAACAGCATGAATGGCTGGTTACACTTGCTACTGAAGTTGAAGTTCATTTGCCTTTTGAATTTTATAACAGTCATCACTTTACTGCACAATCAGCAGTTAGAGGTGTTCTGTTGGTAATTTTCCCAGTACTTGCAAACTGACAAGTCAAATCTTTCCATGCTGTTATTCCAAAAGTTGGGGTTTTTTTTTAGCCTTTTATAATGAGACAGTAATTGTAGAATATAGAGCTGCCTTGTAGCTTTTTCTGAATTTGGTATAAACACCAGAATTGGACACCATGTTGTGATAATAGCGTAAGGCTTGACTGAGCTTTTGCTCTGTAATTTCGTGAGAATGGCTGTTCTCCTAGAGATCGTAGATGGTTTTGTATCAAAGCTGCTTGCATAGTCTGGCAGTTCGGAATTCCGCTGTGTATTGGGTGATAGACTGGGAGAGAGAAAATGGGCAAGGAGGCCCTAAAGGCCTTAGTGCCGGAGCAAGTAGAGGCTCTTTAGTTTCAAGGTCAGCTGTTGTTTTTTTTTTTTCCCTTTGTTTGCTTTTTTTAGACACCTGTTAAAATACAAGGAGCTGTTTGTTAAATTTTTGATGGTGTATTTCTCCCTCTCCTGTCCTGACTCCCAGTGCAGTCCTGCTGGCAGCTGAGTTAACAAAATAATTTTTGGGTTGCAAAAGGGGAGAGTCTTGTCCTTCCTTCCCTTGTGTTTGCTCTGGCACTCTCTGCCATTCCCAAAGAAACCTCCTTCCTCTCCAGCCTAGGTTAGTTTTCTACTACTTCCCAGGGTTGGAGGCTTGTGGAGAGGCTTGGTAGGGAGCGGAGCAAACGTAAGGTCGCACATGGGATCATAGGGTGGCTCCTTACCCTCTGGCACAGTGGAGTGTTGAATTGGCTCACTGTCTCCTGAAAAAAGTGGGTCTTAGTGGCTCTGTTCTTGCAAAGTTTTAACATAAATGTTTCGTTTACCTTGGTGGATTCAGTTTAAGTTACTCAGATAGTCTAAAGGATGTGTGAAGTGATGTGAAAGTGGTCTTTGAAGCTGGACAATGCACAAAGCCAGGAGCTCCTGGGGCTTGGCTTCTCTCTGAAACACAGGACTTTGCATAGTCAAAGGTTGGTTTGTGTTTTTTTAAGAAAGAAAACTTCCTTAGTTATCAGGAATTTTAAGATAGGAACAGATTAATTCTTTAATAGATGCAGTTCTTTAGAAACACACATATTTACTTAACTCCATCCACTTATGTGAGAACAGAAGTAAATTACACAGAAGAGGTGGAGGATCCTGTGGATTCTGATGGTAAGAACTTGTTAAATTGTGCTTCTGCCTTCTCTTTTGAAGAGGAATGGACTTACTGAAATAGTATTGTTGTCAAAGCAGTGGCTGAAACACTGTAGGAAATTGTGCTTAAAGGTACATTTATGGTGTCAGAGCAGTGTCCGTCACATCTTCGCAAGTTACGTGTGATTGTGATCAATGAAGCTGCAGAATTTTTCTAATGACTCAAGGAGTGTGTTGTGCAACAATTTTGAGATAAAAGGTATGGGACCAAAAAAAAAAGCAAACAGGTTTTAGGTTCAGCAATATCAGTTTTAATGAGGAGTGTGCGGTGAGGTGGGAAGAGCGCAGGAAGTGGTGAGGTCAGACATCCTCCAGGGGCTGCTGCTGCCATGCTGGTCCAGGAGCAAGTGTAAACATTATCTAGACAGGCAAGCTAACCATTTGTAATTACATTTGACACCTTTCTGTATGTTAGCATATTCAGTCATGGGTTTTGTTTTCACTTCTGCCTTTCTGTATGTTGGCATATTCAGTCATTTTCTTTTTTTTTCCCCACTTTCTTCTTTGTTCAGGCGAAGTATTGGGCTTTGAAAACCTTGTGTTCAGCATATTTGAATTTGTCCATGCCTTGTTGGAAAACAACAAGTTTAAGAGCACAGTGAAGAAGGCTTTGCCAGAGCTGATCTATTACATCCTCCTTTACATGCAGATCACAGAGGAGCAGGTGAGCATGTTTGTCTTGTTCAGGAAGCAAATGACATGAGAGATTTGAAACACCTAATGCCCTAGGAAGAGTTTCAGTGCATGGAAGCTGCTGTAATCTGCTAGGCTGTTCTGTTGCTTTGCTGTGCCAGGAGTTAGGGCACTAGCGTCCAGATGTTCCTAAATGGGGTAACGTGGACAGCGAGTCATAGAATGGTTTGGGTTGGAAGGGACCTTCAAAGATCATCTAGTCATGCCATGGGCAGGGGCATCTTCCACTAGATCAAGATGCTCAAAGCCTCGTCCAGCCTGACCTTGAAGGCTTCCAGGGATGGGTCAGCACAGCTTTTCTGGGCAACCTGGTCCAGTGTCTCAGCACGCTCATAGTGAAGAACTTCTTCTGTATATCTAATCTAAATCTACCCTGTTTCAGTTTAAAACTGTTGCCCTTTGTCCTGTCAGGCCCTGGTAAAAGTCTCCGTCTGTCTCCCTTTATGTATGGAAAAGGGTGCAATGAGGTCTCCTCAGAGCCCTCTCTTCTCCAGGCTGAACAACCCCAGCTCTCTCAAGCTTTTCTTCTTCATTCCTTCATGAAGTATTATGCTTTGAAAATGAGGATTATCATGCTGAAAGGGAGAGCCAGGTTTCTGTGATAGTGAAAAAATTGTGCTAGTGGTGTGAAATAGTTTGTGCTGAAATTCTACACGGCTCCTGACCTCCCCGAGCCTGACAGCCATCATCTTTTTGTTTAGGTAGACATGCACAAAACCAGGCACTCCTTTAGAGATTCATCTGCTTCTCCCATTCCTCATCTATAAATAAAACTGTGTGGCATTGATTCCAGGTCAGTCGCTAGTTCTGATCTCAAATGAGGAGAGGAAGAGCAAGGTGAGCTTAGAACAAATAGAGGGACTCTCTTCTTTTCAAAGGCTTCTCCAACAGAATATAAGAAAAATCAGTTGAAGATGATGACTTCTTATGGCAGAGAAAAATTCTGAAAGTAGTTTTGGAAAACTGAGGTCACTGGGAACAGAAGAGCTCCCTTTTGCCCTTGGTGTTCTGAATTTGTCATCTACCCTGTCCTTTTTGCCTCTTCTGTTTTAGATAAAAGTTTGGACTGCGAATCCACAACAATTTGTGGAGGATGAAGATGATGATACTTTTTCCTATACAGTGAGGATTGCTGCACAGGATCTCTTGCTGGTATGAAATGTGTTCCACATTTAGATGCATCCAAAACAATAATAACAAATAATAAACCAGTGGGAATTTGGAGAAAAGACCGACTTCGTAAAGTCCGTGCAAATAAGTGTTATCATTTCCTTCTGTGCAGGCTGTGGCTGCTGATTTCCAGAATGAAAGTGCAACTGCTTTGGCTGCAGCAGCTACAAGACATTTACAAGAAGCTGAGCAGGCTAAAAACAACGGTGCTGAGCACTGGTGAGGTGATGGGGCAGCAGGGAATGACACTGGTAGGAATAGCAAGCTCTTTTGCAGCGTTGAGCGCAGCACAATTCAGTCACCTTTTTTCGTGACACTGCTGCTGATGGACAAGGATGCAGTTTGAGAACTGTGATTCGAAAAAGAAACAAGGAGTGCAGCAGTTCCTGAGCCAGATGAGGAAACCTTCGTGTGGAATACTTTCAGCAATTCCTAGCACAAGCTAGCTGTCCCCAGGCTCCCTCTTTCCAAACCCTGGCAGTTCCTTAAAACGTCTCATCAGAGATGTTAATTAGTTATACGTGATCTGAAGAGAAGTTTGCAATGCTTTCAATTTGTGTTCAGTTAATTGAGCTCAAAATTTCAGGCATATCTTTTTTTTAATTTTTATTTTTACTTGATGTAAGAAGAGATGTAGGTGCTGTATGCAGATGTATGCGTTCAATTTTTGAACTCCAAAGTTGCATTTTTTGATGTTACTTTGGGATAGGAGAAGAAAGCTCAATTGCCAGAGTACCTGGTTGGTGGTTCATAACTATTCTCACTTGCTTTTACAGTGCCTTAGTTCAGTGTTTGTGTTTATTTTGAGTATTGGTGTCAGAGTAGCCATTCTATATAGTGAGCAGCAACTGAATGTCCACGAAATCAGATATGGAGTCTCCATCTGCCTTAACTGTAGTAAGTTTTAAAGTAGGTTATTTGTGTCACAAATATGAAACCAAGGAGAAGTGGTATTTGCACATAACTCTTTCATCATTAACAGAAAGTAATGCAAAAATAGACATTTTTAAACCTTTAATGTACTGGGTACCACAGTGCTTCTGTGCGTAGAACGATCAAGCAAGGCACAGCTGGAGACATAAGCCTTCGTAGAAGAATCTGATTTATTTTTTTTCTTTTATGGGAATAAAATTGCTACAAGAAGTAACAACTATTCAACCAATATTTTAGAAAGTGATTGAGAATGCTGCCTGTCCTGGGTGAGTTTCCAAGCCCCCATCTTGCAGAGTTTTCTGAATGTTCATTTCTCTTAGGGCTTTTTCAAGATTCTCTGCTTTGGGATCAAGAAAACAGTTGTGGTAGTTTAGACCAAAAAAAAAAAAATGGTTTTGCTTCGGAATTTGTATTTATTTCTTGAGGTGATGACAGAGGAAAAACCTACAGGCTTCTGAATTCTTTTGCAGGTGGAAAATACATGAAGCTTGTATGCTGGCCCTGGGCTCTGTGAAGTCTATTATTACAGACAGTGTGAAGAATGGTAGAATACATTTTGATATGCACGGTTTCCTGACAAACGTTGTTCTTGCAGACCTCAACCTTTCAGGTACGCTGGCCCTGCCGCAACTCGGAGTAACTGCTGAGTGCCAGACCTTGGAAATGTACAAATGAAAGTGTCTGATGAGTCGCGTTACTATGTGTGCGTGGTGGTGTGAAACGCAGTTGTGCACATTGTACATGTGAAGGGGCATAAATCTGATCTCCTGAGTTCACAGAAGTGAAGCCCTTTAAATGTGGGACACTGCTTTCAGCGGAAACTCGCTGTTGGCTGGGTGCCTGAGCCTGCAGACCTTGGAGATGGAAAGGCAATTGCATGGGGAACTTGGTGGAAAATAGCTGTTCTGTTGTCTTGTATCAGTTTCTGGGAAAGACACCAGCAGTGTTTAACGAGCTTCAGAATTCCTGCAGCAGCATGCTATCCCCTTTTCTTTATGCTGAGGCTGACGCTGGTCATAGCACATGCATGCAAATAATGCTCCCAGCTGAGTGTGATCCTGTTATTGGGAGCTCTGCAGGTGTCTGCTTTCTCTGTTATCTTGCATCAGTGTGCAAGAAAGAGGAGTTGTTGAAAGTCGGACCTCAAAAGTCCTTGCAAATAATTAAAATTTGAGAAGTTTAAGCCAATATAATCGTTATTTGGTGAGTCCACACTTAGTTGTGCCAGTGCAGAAAAAAGAAGTTGCTAGATTCTTTCATCAAAGAGTCATTTGTTTATCCTATTACTGAGAAGGTTGGTGGGTTGGTATTTTTGAGTTAATTTTGAGTGAAGAAATAGCTTGCAAAGTGTAATGCATGTAAAAAAACCCAAAACAACGCCAGCACCAAACCTTAGCTATTTGCACAAATCTACATAAGTGGAATTGGGTTGTAAATGAGCTGTGCTAGAAAGAGCTCCTGGAGTCAGTATATAGGTGGTTCTCGGAGGATGTCCTTTTAATGCCCAGTAACTGTAATAAGACAAAGAAATCTTGCTTTTTATATTACCTGCTCAGAAAACAAAGCTTTTCTGTTGCTCTAGGTCTTGCATGGAGTTTTTGATGTCCTCATCTTAAAGTTAATATCTGCAGGAGTATAAGTAATGGCAGTAAAGATGCTGAGAAATAGAGAGCATCATCTGTTGGAGGACAGCTTAAAGAGTATAAGGATACTGAAAAGAAAGGAGGGTTAAGTGCAGTAAATACCTTGATGAGTGTAAACAGATGAGTAGATAACGAGTCTTCTCTGTTTCTCTGGTGCTGTCGAACATTGTGTTCCGTAATTACAAGGTGATGGCTGGAATCTAGAAAAGGGATCTGTAGAAGATCCCTGTATACGTGCTCTGTTTCTCTAATTCTGCCCCCTAAGCTGCTGCTATTTGCTGCTGTTGGGGATAGAATATTGAGCTGGACGAATAGGAATTACTTTGCCTCTTCCTTTACTTTTGTTCTGATGATCAGTAAAGCATGTATTGCTGTACTGATGATAAAATTCAAGTGTAACTAGTTGAGGGAAGAAGTTTGGGTTTTTTTAAACATGTGAAATTAGCTTTTTAAATAATTAAGAAAATAAGCTGGATTCTGCCTATGAACAAAAATTCTTTGTATGCCTGTATACTGGTCTTCTGTGTCATATCTTACCATTTTCCTGCTGGGGTGACAAAATTTTGGATAATGGATGGAAGCAGCTGTAATTTTAATTTCCTAAAACTTCCTCTAAAACCACTGGGTGTTTTTGCTTCGTTTCAGTGTCTCCCTTTCTCCTGGGTCGTGCCCTGTGGGCCGCCAGCCGTTTTACAGTGGCTATGTCTCCAGAACTAATCCAGCAGTTCTTACAAGCGACTGTCAGTGGGCTGCACGAAACCCAGCCCCCTTCTGTCCGAATCTCTGCAGTCAGAGCCATCTGGGGGTAAGTAAGCCCTCGGGCATTCCAAAGCCCCGGGAACAGATGGTATCAATTACAGTTACAAAACTGCTTTGTGACAATATTAATAACATTTCTGAATAGACTGTGGAAGTATTTGCTTTGAATGAGATGGGTGCCAGCTTAACAAGCGTAAGCAAGCAGGTTCAAGATAGAGTAACTCTAGTGAAGGATGTGCAACTGAGGCTCGAGGTTGGCTGCAATAAAATGTTGCAACGGATACAGTCCCACAGAGAAGCAGAAATAGATAGTGATGAAAAGCATAAAGGTGAAACCCCAGTTACTCCTGTTCAGTCAGGGATGGCTGAATGGCACAGTACGGGCTTGTGGAGCAAATCACAGCTATAGGAGTGTTTGGGTTTGGTTTTCTCTTTTATCCTGTTTTGTAAACAAGTTGCAAGAAGGAAAAAGGATCTACTGTATTGATTCTAAAGTGAAAAATGAACATTAGTGTAAAAACAAAAAATAACCAAACAAAAAAACACCCAAAAAACCCCCTTGCAAAAACCCTACTCTTGCCCACCCTCTCCCCCTAAAAAAAACCTCCTTGTCTTCTGTTTGCACTGAAGCATTAGTGAATAAGTAAAAGCAGATACTTATAACTTAGCTACTCCTTAAATCGTTTTGTCCTCCCCTAGTTCACTTGTAAAACATGGCGATTAAACACTTTGTAAGTAGAGTCTGTCTCAGATTCCTTTTTACCTCGAGGTTTATTTTCTCTGTTGATGGGCAGTTCTTGAGAGAGAACTGGTACTAAGAGCTGGTAGAAGCTCTTAACAGCACTTGACTCAACTCTGCTTCTGTGAACCACCAGGGATGGAATGAGGAGGAAAGATAGCTGATCTGCTGAGAGGTCAAGCAGTAGTGGACTGAAGGGGAAAAGTCCTAGAGGAGTAAACTTAAGGAAGAAGAAGAACTCCTTGTGTATCACCTAGAGTTAAATGTATAAATCGCTCTATTATATTACGTATGTGTTTTTATATCACAAATTTCTTGTCCAGCTATTGTGACCAGCTGAAGATCTCTGAGAGCACCCATGTGTTGCAGCCTTTCCTTCCTAGCATTCTTGATGGACTGATCCACTTGGCCACTCAGTTCAGCTCGGAGGTCCTGAACCTGGTGATGGAGACGCTGTGCATTGTCTGCACAGTAGACCCAGCATTCACAGCAAGTGTGGAGAACAAAATCTGCCCTTTCACCATTGCAATATTTCTGAAGTACAGTAACGGTATGCGTTCCAGTTACACTCTAAAAGTGCAGTTGTTGTTGCTACTGAATCCTGGTGCTGAAAGCTGAATAAATTATAATGGAATGAATGTTGATTCATTCAGCGGTAAAGCTAGAAGGGAAACTTGCTGCTTTGCATATTTGAAGTAGCTGTAGCAAAAATTGAGATGTGTTTGTTAGTATGTTCTAGTAAATGGTGCTTTCTCTCTCCAGATCCAGTTGTTGCTTCTCTTGCCCAAGATATCTTTAAGGAGCTAGCTCAGATAGAAGCCTGCCAGGGTCCAATGCAGATGAGGCTAATACCAACTCTTGTCAGCATCATGCAGGCCCCTGCTGACAAGATCCCAGCAGGGCTTTGTGCAGTAAGTGCTGTAGTGGTACCTGGTCTTAGCTGGAGATGATTCCCTGTTCGTTAACGTATAGGATGGCTGGTCTGCAAAGAGTAGAAAGGTTACTTTTCAGCTGCTGTGGAACAGTGACTTCCATCATTGGGAGAGGTTGGTTTGTGTAGAGACAGCAAACTGCAGGTGGGGGGGAGATGCTTCCAAAAGTTAACTTTAAACCGCTCCTCTGGCCGCCTTCCAGTCTCTGCAGCATCTCCTTAGTTTTGCTTGGACATAGCCATCTTTCACCAGTAACACTTTCCTCTTTTTGGTGGAATGTTCTCCAGCAGGCTACATGACTGTTCCTTGCACTTTTTTTAAGGCTTTTTCTGATTCATACGTCACATATGTATAAATTGCTGGAAATAAAATTATACAGGTTTGTCCGTTCTGTAAAAAGTCCCTTTATAAAAGCTGAAGCATTGACTGTGTAGAACGATTGCACGGAATTAAACCTATAAACATCTTTATCAACTTGCTTATAATCTGCCTATTGATTGGTGTGACTTAGGGGTAATTAAAACAAATCTAAATCAATGTAAACAAAACGGATCAAGCAGCAGGAACAGTTCTCTGGCTGTGCTGTTCGGCATGCATCAGGGTCCCATGGAACTGTGTGCCATATTTAGGTGGTTACGCTGCTTTTCATGTCTGAACTGCCTCGGGAACTTTTACAGCACACAGTGTGTGCCCGTGTCAAATACAGGGATGCTTGAGTGCATGACTCCAGAGTCCTCTGGTTTAAAAAATGCTCTAGACTTTAAAATCAGGATGTGATTGCAGTACTGGCTCACATCCCTCCAGTTTACGCCTCTGATGCTTGCACCAGTGGTGGGTAATGCTGACCTAGCATACTATGGCTGCTCCTGTAACAGTGCTTTTGTTTGTGTTCTCCTTTCAGACTTCTATTGATATATTGACCACGGTTGTGAGGAATACAAAACCTCCTCTGTCCCAGCTCCTGATCTGCCAAGCGTTCCCTGCAGTGGCTCAGTGCAGCTTGAACACCGATGACAATGCTACTATGCAGGTAACACTGTGGGGAGCGGGAAGGATTGCAGGGCTGTGCGAGTCCAAGAGCCTTTAAGGGAGCCCAGGCTTTGCTTGCTGATGGCTGTATCAACCTCAGGAGTCTCTACCACCTCCAGTTGATCACGAAACTACTGCTGTTTAAGGGCCTGCAATGACATTTAACTGATCGTTCCTTAATTTGGAGGACCAGAGGGAACAGAGCAGCAGCCTTGATCTTTTTTTCTATTTTAGGGCTCTGGGGAACATGAAAAAAAAGAAATCCCAAACCCTTAAGAACTCAAACAAAAAAACCCACAAAACATGATTGACTTTCTTCCCTCATAATAACTTTCATCACACCTAGGAGTGGCAGAGGCTGTCTGTGAGAAGGCGCTCGGGCACAGGGAAGCAAAAGACCTCCTGCACAGAAGAACACCTAGACCTCCTTCTTCTAGCCCTTGACTCCTGTATTCATTTAGGTGGGAAGGGGAGGACAAACTTCTGTTTGGCTAAGCCAGGTGTGGGATGGAGGGAGAGCAAGGGTTGATCTCAGACAGCGTTAGTGCCTGAGCTGTGCGTGTTGGCAGGCTCTGCTGTTATGTGATGCTGTCTTCAGAGGATTTAAGCAAGAAAGAAAAAACTTTGAAGGGTAGAAGCGCAGGGTGCCTTTTCATTCCAGTTACTGGTGGACTTATAAAAAGTAAAGCTGATTTCATTTCCTTACGTAGGCAGTTTTATAGTGCCAGCTACCCTTTGCCATGTGAATACAGACCATAGAAATGGCCTTCCCTAAACATCGTATCAGTAAGAGTAGGTTGGAGACCAGCATGCTGGTGACTCTGCTGGATCTTTGTTTCATTTAAAAAAAATTGCAACTTGGCTGCTGGGTTGTGTTTTGTTCCTGCTATATTTTGCTGTCTTCATTTCTCACTTGTTAGAATTTCTTGGAATTTCTGTGGATAACAAGACTGGCACAAAACTGCAGCTACTTCAGGTTGTCTTTGTATTTACTAGATGATCTTGATAGCTGCCTGGGCAGTGAAGAGTGGTGTACTTCATAATTAACTGCAATATTTTGAAATTATTTTTAATTTTAGGCTCTCATTTTACTGCACATTAGAGAGCTTGGATCTTTTACAGATGCCACCAGTTTGCCCATTGTTTTCATGTTGGTTAATGGTCTTTTGGGGATGATGACAGGAGATGTCTTCCTATGCCTTCCTGCCCCCACCTAGAAAGGGAAATTCTAACACAATCCTCTTCTCATTTAGAATGGTGGTGAGTGTCTGCGTGCCTACGTCTCGGTGGCACTGGAGCAGATTGCACAATGGCACGATGAGCAAGGCCACAATGGACTGTGGTATGTGATGCAGGTGGTGAGCCAGCTTCTAGATCCCAGGACCTCAGAATTCACTGCTGCCTTTGTGGGCAGGCTGGTCTCCACTTTAATTTCCAAAGCAGGAAGTGAGCTGGGAGAGAACCTGGACCAGATCCTGAGAGCTATCCTGAGCAAAATGCAACAAGCGGAGACGCTCAGTGTAATGCAGGTGAGCAGGCTGGGCACCCAGGAGAGTCAGTAGCAGTGTCAGAAAAAGAAATTGTCTTCTTTTTTTTTTTCTCAATTGGGTGCCTGATTATGTGTGGGTAGTGCAATTGGAGGGTCTACGTATCTTCTTGAAGTAGTCAGGAAAACGCCTACTCTGCTCATACAGAGTTGTCTGGATGATGGGGTAAGCCAGGTTCTTGTGGGTGAGCTTTAATGCACCTTGAACATACCTCATGGTCTTGTGCGTGCCCAGCAGTGAACCTTTAGAGGGGACAGGAGCTGCCTAAGCGGGGATGCTGCGGCAAAGGCAGCACGTGTTTTCCAGTGGTTTTGTGCTGTGTTCGAAGGACAGATGCCTGGGAGTTAAGGCAAGGTGAACTTGTGGTGGATGGGAGGTGTAGTTGGCCTGCATTGGGTCAGAGACAGGCAGGGAGCATCACCATCACTTGCAGCCTTGACCTGCTTCTAGTGGCACAGTTTTATGGAATGATTTTATCCCAGTTATCATCATTCTCTCTGTTATCTTTCATACCTGTGCCCTTAGTGTAAAACATCTGGCGATGGCTGTCTTGGTTCCTCAGTAGCACTGGGGGAAGGCATTTTGCTGGCACTGTTGAGGAGTTTTGCCTTCTGGCAAGATCCCACCTTTGCCCTCCGTGTGGCACTTGGCTGAGGCTTGCTCTGCTCTGTTTTATCTTGTGTGTTTCTCTGGTTTTGGTATGTGTGTTTTTCGAGCCAGCGCATGGTGAGTCAAGAAGGCCATTCAGATGTCAGCACAGATTTAATCTTAAAGCCTTGATTTTTATTTTTTTACCCCTAGCGTACACTGTTAATTCTTAACTGTTCAGAGTGGCTCTCACTTGGCCTGTTTTTGGAATTAAAAGATCCAGAAGCTTAAATCTGAAGCAGTCACATGAAGCCTCTGTAGCCAGGGGAAGAGAAACGGGCCTTTCACAATGCTGCATCTCCTCCCTGAAAGGTGGGCCTCTGGAAGTGGGCAGCTTTTCCCCAAGGAAGCCTACAGGGATGCCCTCAGACTCGGAGACTGACATTTAGACATAAGGAATGTATGAATTCTACCCCTGATCTTTAAAAGTCAGACTGTAAAACTGCATCTTGTAAA